TTTCATTGATCTTCTCTGTAAGAAATTCGATCGAGTCGTCGTCGAGGTGCTTGAGCATTTTGTTGGTTACCCCATCTGGCCCAGGGGCGGATCTGCTATTGAGGGATGCGAGAACCCGCTTGACCTCAGCCACGGTGAAGTCCTCGTCCATCGATGGCGCGTCGCGCCCCTCGTAGTCGGGAAACTGGGGAGGTACCGGATTGTCCGTGGCCGCCAGGTACTTGTCTATGAGCTTCTCTGTGATCGCCTCATCTGGAGTTGAGTCGGTGGCCAAATGGACAGCTTTCGCCAAAGCTCTCTTCTGATTGGACTTGGTGTTGCCGTCGTGCAGTAGGTGTGTGAGGAGTCTCCAGCTTTTACCGGTCTTGAGTTGGCCCTCCATAGAATCACAGAGCTCATCCCATTGCTGCTTGCATAAGACCTTGCAATGATCTCCTACCGTTTTGTTGATTTCGGACATTTTCTTGCGCAGTCTTCCGTTATGGCGCTGAGTCTTCCATCTCGCGAGCAGTGCCTGCTTGGCTTCCAACAGATGCGCGAGCCTACTGTCCATCCTGTCCACCTCCAGATCGGTTGTCACCTCTTTGGTGGCGCTGGCCACATCTTCTTTTAACCCGTCGCACCAAGAGTCTAGGTCCGCATCCGGGGAAAGGGCGCGCTCGGAGCGGTTGGCTCGGAACAAGTCCCAGTCGATGAACTTAAAGGTCCTCGTCTTGTTGCGGGCAACCTCTATGGCACTTCGATGATGCAATGATCGCTACCGAGGTCGATAGCTGTGTTGGTCCATTTGACGTTTTCCAGACTCTTGACAAAGGTGAGATCCGGGGTTGTATCTCGGCACACCGAGTTCCCTCTCCTGGTCGGGAAGTCCTTATTAGGTACCAGTGTCAGATCTTCCTCCGTTGCCGTGAGCCATATGTCTCTACCCTTCTTCGTATTGGTGAGGTAACCCCGCGCCTGATGCTAAGCATTGAAGTCCCCCATGACGACAAGAGGTTGACAGCCGGCAAAATGCACGACCTTCTTCAGAAGACCACCAGCCCTGGCTCTGTGTACGCTGGGCCTGCAGTAGACATTTAATATGAAAATACTGTTCCTTCGTAAGCACCGCTTAGGGGGGTCGACTAGGAGTTCCGTCATGACGTACTCGACCCCATTGTCCACTGGACCGAGGTCTCGCTGAATGCACGTGAACCTTTTACTGACCAGAGTGGCCACCCCCCTTCCCCCTTCAGTGGAAGCCACAGTGACGAAACCAGGGAGCCTGATGTTTGATGATGTGATCGTTTCTTTGCAGGTGATAACTTGGGGTTTATCCTTTATGCCTTTTAGGTATTGTCGCAGGGTCGCCCGTTTGCTGACGAACCCTGCGCAATTCCACTGCCACATTGTTATGACGTTAGTTTCGTTATCCATGTTTGGGCTTGGGGATGGGTTTCGAGAGGGCCGCCTGCAGGATGGCACCCTCTGTCGGCGGGGCAATGACACTGTTCAAGTTTGGGACTGGTGTTGTCGATGTGCTTGGCAAAAATCCGTGGTGGGTCCCCTCCAGTCTAAGTATTCTCTCGCTGAGGGCGACCAGACCCAGCTGGGGGTGCGCGATCATTTCTTGTACTTGAGAGAGGCCTGACTGTATGTTGGAGATGGCCTTCTTGAGCTCCGAAAGGAGCTCCAGAGTCTCGTCTTCCCTTGAGCTATCCAGGGCGCGACGCTTCACTGCACCCGCCTTGGGGGGAGCCTCCGCCGTGTCCATGGCCGACGAACTCGTGGCGGCCGGAGGAGCCGGCGGTTTGAGCGCCAATTTTCGTATTTCGGCTATCTCGGTGGCTAGCCGCCTGATTTCCTGCTTGAACTGGGCGTTTTCTTTCCTAAGACTATCATTGGCACGCCTAAGCTCTTTGAGCTCGTTCGTGAGACGCGGGTCATGCGAGTCCTGAGAGTTGGACGCCTGCGCTTGGTTGCCACGGGCCCTATCGGCCCACGTTAGATAGGACTTGCCTTTACCACCGGAGGGGGTGTTGGACCTTGGCCTGTTGGACGAGCCGCTCCGGGTGCGGGACGTGGAGCGGCTTCTGGAGCCGGAGCGCGCTGGAGAAGGCGATGATGGTCGTGATCTTGGGGCAGAGCGGCTTTTGGAGCCCCGTCGGCTCATGGAGCGACCTCGCGAGCGCGAGCGTCGTTTTCCCCTAGGGCTAGGGCTACATGAGGCTTGAGAATAGGAGGGTCGAAGGATCGACTGCGGGGGGAGCTCCTCTTGCTGTCTGGCGCGCTCGAAGCGTCGTCGGCGAACAATGTACGGAGTCTTGAATCTATGTGCACATTCTTTACTGGCAGTAAGGTGCGGACCGCCACAAAACTTGCATATTGGGGTGCATTGGTGCTGCTCATCAGGGTTTGGAAGGCCGCATCCCCGACAGACGACGTCGCTAGGTGTTGGACAGACATCGGCGCGATGCCCGAGTCTTCCGCAGGCGTGGCATACGTCCACTTGCTTTCTATATAGAGAACATTTCAACAGGAGCGTTCCGTACCTGACAAAATTCGGTACCCGGTGCCCGTCAAAGGCGATGATCACAGTCTCCGTCTGAGCAATTCTCTTAGCTGCCAGTGCGAGCGGGTTTTTCTGGTTAACGATCTTGCCATCCAGCGTCGCAGGGTCGTCTTGCAACGGTATGCCACGTATGACCCCCTTGCGCGTGGAGTGTGGGGCAGTCTCGTACGCGCAGAGTTCGTGGATGTTGCCCGAGATGCGGATTTGCTTGAGGCGGGAGTATCGATCGGCATTTTCCCGTCTAGGAGTGCTGGCCACCATAATGTTTTGCTGTAAGTTCGGGCACAGAGTGTCTTGTGAGAGCTCATCGGGTCTGATGCCGGCGGCTGCAAGTATAGCGTCAGCCACCGCAGCCGCTCCAATTTTGGAGATATTCAGTCCACCTCTTGGTCGAATGACGATTTTGGTGTCTTTTTTTGGAAGAACCGGCATTCGGCCTGCCCTAATAATCTTGGACTTCAGCGCTGCGCCGCTATGCTTGTCGCCACGGGACGCCGAAAGCGTTGCTGCGGCGTTAGGGCCACCTCCCCGCGATTTGGCGTTAACTCTTCTGGCGCCCGCAGTTTGCCATCCCTGGTCTTGAGTGACTTCCTCCGGGGAAATGTTTTCTCCCTCTACTCGATATTCCATCATGGTAACGGACGAGTGGCGCCGAGCCACCCCTGAGGCCGGCTGGGTGGCCTAGATGAGCTAGGCCTAGGCCTGATCTCCGAAGTGCTCGTTAGGTGAGACGCCGCCGACGGAGGCACAAAAATGTCCGTAAAATGGTGAAAAATCACTCACTGTGGCAAAAGAGGATGTCCGCGTGGTCCTTAGAACTTCGCGGAAAAGATTTGCACAAATAAACATGGATACTCGACGACAAAATACTAGAAAAGTTGGCAAAATCCGGGAGCCGACGCGAGCACGTCTTGACTCGCCGCCGCCAGCGTCTCCTCCGCTAACGGTCAGCGATGAATTTTTGGGCATGGAGAGAGGGTAGCCGGTTCCACCGCAAATGCATACGGAGTGTACAACCAGTCGTGATTTAAATGACGTCCAGTCGCGGTGGTGTAGTGGCTAAGGTACTCGACGGCTGACCCACAGATCGCAAGGTCCAATCCCGGCTGCAGCGGCTGCATTTTCTATGGAGGCAGAAATGCTGTGGGCTCGTGTGCTCAGATTTGGGTGCACGTTAAAGAACCCCAGCTGGTCGAAATTTCCGGAGCCCTCCACTATGGCGTCTCTCATAATCATGTGGTGGATTTGGGACTGTTAAACCTCACATATCAAATCATAATTTAAATGACGAGCCGTCGTTGCCGAGGCGAGCTTTAAAATAAGTGTGATTAGAAAAAAGAACTAGGAAGCTTTAGCCTGTGCCTCCTAGAAGGCATGGCTTTAGCCTGCGCAGCATTTCATATATCAAAAAGCATTGAACGAAGCAATAACGTTTTGTCAGTGACAGCAGATATAGTTGCAAAAATGCGGCGATACTGGAAGGGGAGTTGAGGTTTAGTTTGTTAAATTACATAGAGGTGGGAGGGCGGACATAACATCTGTCTTCTTTTTCCGCTGAATTTAGACTCGCGCACAACAACAGAAGGACACAAAAAGGAATGCAGGTAGGCAGACGACGAAGCACAACCTTGTGTCCTTCTTGTGCACCTGTTTTTTTTGTGTGGAGTAGCCTATATCCAGATGAATTACCAACAAGCTTAAGAAATCCTCCTGAAGTTCTTTACCGGCATGTTCGCCGTGCTCACGCACGTGTTGTTTGCTAGCGTTGGTTGGAAGACATCTGGCATAGCGTCGGTTTGGGTGCTGCCATGGGCTTCGGCAGGTTTTTGTCTGGGAAGTGCAAGGCCGTATTGTACATCGAGGGAGGGAGGACCAACCAGAGCAGGTGTCCTTGTGCACACCCCTGCTTATCGACGCCCATGGGTACTGGCGATTAGAGCCGATTTTTGTGGCAAACGATCGGGTTCTAATAGAGCAAGGTATAGGCGATGTCACCGATGACGACGACAGGTAATAGTGTGGTAATAGCGTTTGTTTCACTGCTCGGAATTGAAGAGCTGGCACGATTCGTCTATCCACAGTCGAGTAGCGGCGGAACGCAAATTTGATCGCACAATAGCACTCGTGCAAATCGTAAACATTAATATGCAGCCCCCCCTCCCCCAATTTCACGGTGTACCTCGGCTGGCTTTTCTGATACTTTGGATCATGAAAGCCAGTATGTTAATGACTCAATGATATTTGTCAATCAGCCAATGAGCGTGCATTCTCGAACTAAAAAAGACATTTCCGATACGAATAGCACAGTTGATTTCACGGTCACGCACGTTGTCATAGCTCTTGTGTAGCTAGCTATCCAAACGGTGTTCGTATATCACTTGCATGAGTGTTTGCAAGTTTGGTAAACAGGTGCTATAATTTATCTTATTTTTTATTTTGATGCTTTCAGAATTGAGAGTTTTATGAAGAATGATGCGCCCGTGATATAAATCGAAACACGAACGTCAGGGTGTGGGAGAATCGCCAAGTTCCTGGTGCTGGCGTCGAGATACGGCTACACCGTCATTCTCGTCGACATGCCGCTTCATTTCGTCTTGGATCCAAAGGTAAACATTATACTGATTCTTCCATGAATGCACACAAATGCACAATTCGACGCTGTGAACCACGCGACGTCAATGTTTCCGTGGGGTACATGTACAGTACCTAAACTGCGTTGTTCACTGCATCATTTCATTTTGGTGTGGGTGCATTGTCATTGAGAATGTCTAGTCTTGTTTCGTTCTGTGCTAGGCAAAATTTGTAGGCAGTCATACGCAGACCGTTACCATGATTCAGTTTTGCACACAAGCCTATTTGCCCCTGTTGGAACAATACAAATTTATCGACGCACTAAAAAGACACATGCATAGGTGAATCCGCTGGCACCTAGCGGGTGTTTAATATCCACAACGTATGACGTGCGTGCTAAACGTCAGGGACCACTTAAATAGAATTGATAAAAAGGAATGCCATTCCACGGTGGCACCCGGGAACTCGCCTTCGAAGAGAAGCAAAAGCTTTTACATAACGCCAGTGCATATAACTATTTCACGTCAGCATTTCCTTTTGCTATAATTTGTCCCTATTTCTTTAATTGTGACCTTATTCGTCGCTCTAGTATAAATCATGAATAACGACACCATTGGAAGCAAACGCCCCGCCGCGGTGGTCTAGTGGCTAAGGTACTCGGCAGCTGACCCGCAGGGCGCGGGTTCGAATCCCGGCTGCGGCGGCTGCATTTCCGATGGAGGCGGAAATGTTGTAGGCCCGTGTGCTCAGATTTGGGCGCACGTTAAAGAACCCCAGGTGGTCTAAATTTCCGGAGCCCTCCACTACGGCGTCTCTCATAATCATATAGTGGTTTTGGGACGTTAAACCCCACATATCAATCAACTATTGAAAGCAAACAGAAACAAGTCTGCATCTCTCTGGCTAGTGCGCATGCGCATACGTTGCCCGTCTCGCCCTGCAACAGAGTGTAGGGGCAGCACTATATTTGTCAAGCAGCTTTGGGACAGTAGGTGCGAACTGGGGCATGCATATCCTCGGCTTGCACAGGTACTGACGGCAACGAACAACAAAGGCCTGGGCGAGTCCTACATCACCCAGCGGGTTAGGCAGTGGGAAGAGGTGCATCCGTTCGCCACGGGTTGGGCGCCGAGACCGAGAGACGCGGCGAAGCTGCTGCATCGCTACCGACAGCTCAGGGAGGCGTTGCACGAGGCTGATCGTAAGTGAAAAAAAAAAATGAAAAAAATGTGGAACTTAGTCGTTAGATCTTGATTGGAATGTTTTTATAGCAGCAGCACACCAATAATAGCTGAAACTTGTATTCATTCACCCTTGCTCAACCAGCATTACCTACTTTAGGCAACGTTACCTAGCTTACATAAGTCGTTAGTTAATCATTAGCCGAGAGTAAGCGCTAGCAGTCACTTAGACATTTGTAGCCAAGATTACATTTAGCCAGTATTAGCTTACGGCATCATCTTAGCCCATACTTTCAGTCATTTAGTCATCGTTTGCCGACATTAGGCAGTACTTGTGAACATCGGCCATCATTTAACCGTCATCTTATAGTCACTGCCAATTGAGGCGGGTAGTATGCATGTTAATGCAGTAGAAGTTGGATTCGTTCAAATATTAATGATCGCTAACGTCATAGCGATCAAGGCGCACACCATATCTTGTCGAAAAACTTTGGGGTGCTCGCACAAAAAATAAAGGAAGAAAAATAATTGTAAGTCGCGCGGAAGGTATTAACGAGCGCGAGACGAGAGATCAGGAGAAGACGGAAGTTAGCCGCCAGAGCGCGTAGGGTATACCGCGTGTAGTCGGCGAAGGTTTTGTCCGTAGAGACAAAGCGGGAGAAGAAGAGGATTTCCACCTTAGGGGTGACGACTCGAGCTACAGGCAAGAGTGTGTGTTTACCGCTATTGAGCGAAGACGCGTGGCGACCGCTGCGTGTGTGAAGCCGACGTGTTCGGGTGAAGAAGTTTGAAGCTTGGAGAGTGGCCAATTGAAGACGCGAGGTTTCCTGGGAGAGAACTTCGAGAGCTGCGGAACGACAACAACGCTGGACTTTGAGTGAGTGATTCTCGGAAGAGTATCATCCAGACTTTTGTTCCAAGAAGTTTGGACTGGATAGGTTGTCTATCTCTTTAGTCTTTAAGTGTCTTGGTGGTTCAATGCATGCGGCTGCATTGTAGTGCGTATAGTTGTCTGTGTCCGTTGTTTCGAGTGTGGCTGATTGTACTGTGTAGTACGTTGTTTGATTGGTGACATATTGTATGCAACTATTGTGGAGTGTGCAAACTTGTGTATTGTTTTGATCTGCCACTATTGAGAATATAATTTCGTTTTCTTTATCAACTCTCGGCTCTGACTTGTTCTTTGGGCCACGGCCGGCGTCCGCTGGCGCGCCAAAAAGGACCACTTCTAAATTGTCCACGCTTTCGTGGTGCGGTTCGGGGGGCTAATACTTCGGCCCTTGGAATTAGCCCGGCGATCGCCTCCCTAATTAACGGGACCGGTGTGACAATTAATCTGGCGTCCGCGAAACAGGACCTTTTGGTGCACAGTTTGCCCAAAGTAGTGAGAAAGAGCCTCGAGTTGTTGATAGTGCGATCGGAACGAGTTTGTGTGTTGCTCAGTGTTCTCGTTAACGAGTGCAGGGGAGTGTTCCGATAGACTGATTTAGGCAGATACTTTTTGCACGCAGCAAGACTTCATTTGCGAGACACAATGGATCTCGAAAAGTTAGTAGCTCTTGGTGAGAAGATGGGTCTTTCTGGCGCCGAACTACGGAAATGGGTAAGCCAGAAGGAGAAAGAGGCGGCAGAGTGAGAGAGGTTGGCAGCTGAGAGGGCCAAGGAAGAAAAAGCAGCTGAGTTGGAGAGAGAAAGGCTGGCCACTGAAATGGCGAGAAAAGAAAGAGAAGCAAAGGAGCGACAGCTGAGAGAAGAAAGAGAAGCAAAGGGGCGACAGCTGAAAGAAGAAAGAGAGCAGCAATTGAAGTTAGAGCTGGAGAGAGAAAAGTTGGCAGCTGAAAGGGCGAGAGAAGAAAGAGAGCAGCAATTGAAGTTGGAGCTGGAGAGAGAACGACTGGCAGCTGAGAGGGCGAAAGAAGAAAGAGAGGAAAGGGAACGGCAGCGACAGCACGAGATAGAACTCGAGCGACTCCGTTTGCAACAGCGAAGTGAAACTCCCCTCCAACCTAGAGTTGAAAGCAGCGAACGGGAAGATCATGGCTTCCGCTTGAACCCAAGCAAGCTGCTCGTGGCGTTTGATGAAAGGAAGGACGACCTTGACGCGTACCTTCACCGATTTGAGACGATTGCGAAGAGCCAGAATTGGCCGGAACATCAATGGGCAACTGTTTTGAGTACTTGCTTGAGTGGTGAAGCGCTCAATGTGTACGGTAGGCTGACGCCGACCGATGCAGCCAACTATGCAAAGGTGAAAGCTGCTTTGCTGAAGCAATTTAGATTTACTGTAGAAGGATTCCGGGACAGATTTCGGACAGGAAAGCCAGCTGATGGTGAGACGGCTACACAGTACGCCGCCCGACTTAGCCATTATTTCGACAGATGGATTGAACTTTCTGGGACAGCGCAGGAGTACGATGAACTTAGAGAGCTCCTAATTAGAGAACAATTTCTTACTAGTTGCCACCCAAGCCTGTCGCTGTACTTGAAAGAGAGGAGAGCTAAGTCACTTGAAGACATGCTTGAATTAGCTGATCAATTCTTGGAAGCGCAAGGTGGCACTAATTTGGCCAAAGTCAAGAAGGAGTGTCCCGAAGATTCGAAGAAATCGGCTCCCGAGGAAAAGAAGCGTGCACCGGAGAACGTTCCGCGATGTTTTCTGTGTAACCGAGTGGGTCACCGTGCTAACCACTGCCGAACTAACTTCACGAGCCCCACGGTTGTAAAATGTTTCAAATGTGGTCAGACTAGGCACAAGGCAGACGCATGTCGTAACGGAGCGAGTCAAACTCACCAGGTATCCTGTGCACAAGTGGCACCAAAAACCATTGATGACGTCACCGATGGATTCGTAGAGTTGAAAAATGGGGAGAAGATCCCTATTGTGGGTGCGGTATTGACAAAACAACCAACAGGTGCTACGAAGGGAATGCCTGTGATGGCTGGAAAAGTGGTGGGAAGGCGTGTAGACGTCTTAAGAGACACTGGGTGCTCCACTGTAATAGTACGAAGAGACCTAGTCCGCGACGACAAACTCACGGGCCAGACCAGCCTGATTTACACCATCGACCGTTCGGTTATGAGGCTGCCTGAGGCCAAGGTCAAGATCGAGACGCCCTTCTACAGTGGAATTGTTTCTGCCTTCTGCATGGATGATCCATTGTATGACGTAATCGTGGGGAACATCGAGGGCGCCCGTTCACCGGACCAACCCGAACCACTAGAAGAGGACCCAGAAATCGATCCACCTTCGATTGCAAACCCTCACGACCAACCAGCCACGGCCGATGAGGACGTAGTCGCAGTTGCGACCCGAGCACAGACAAAGCCCAGTCGAAGCCATTCCAGCCCCTCCCTGCACCCGATTCCAAGGAGGACCCGAGCTTCAGCTATGCCGAGGAACAAATACAGGACGAGTCGTTAAAACCCTGCTTTGCGCAAATCGACAAGGACCTCAGATGCCGTAATAGTAAATGCGCGATAATGTTCAAGCAGGAAGATGGACTGCTCTACAGGTACTATACGAAGAGGAGTGGTCGGCGGATACGACAGCTGTTGGTGCTGAAGAACCACCGAGAGGCTGTTATGAAGCTAGCCCACGAAGGGATAATGGCTGATCACCTGGGAGCCGAGAAAACCAAGGACGAAATTCAGGAAGAATTCTTCTGGCCCAGTGTCACAGCCGACGTGAAACGGTTCGTGGCGTCTTGCGATATCTGCCAGCGAACTGTGCCGAAAGGAAGGGTGCCACACGTGTCCCTCGGCCAGTCCCCCGTCATAGACATCCCCTTTAAAAGGGTAGCTATTGACATAGTAGGCCCTATCCGACCTCCATCTGGTCAAGGAAACCGCTATATCCTGACTCTTGTCGATTGCGCCACGTGCTACCCGGAGGCAGTTGCACTACCTGGCATAGAGACCGAACGAGTCGCAGAAGCCCTCGTTGAGATGTTCTCCCGTTTTGGTGTACCGAGGGAAATTTTAAGTGATAGGGGCTCGACTTTCACGTCGGAGTTAATGAAGGAAGTGGCACGACTTCTATCGGTGTGTTAACTCCATACCACCCCTTACCACCCGATGGCCAACGGGATGGTGGAAAAATTTAATGGCACCCTGAAGACTATGCTCAAAAGAATGTGTGCGGAGAAACCAAAAAACTGGGACAGATTCCTCGGTCCGTTGCTGTTCGCGTACAGAGAGGTTCCCCAGGCAAGTCTCGGCTTTTCACCGTTCGAGCTACTGTACGGCCGACATGTCCGGGGACCCCTGGTGATCTTAAAGGAAGTCTGGACGAACCAAGAGCTGGACGATGAGCTGAAGACAACCTACCAGTACGTATTGGATCTCCGAAATTGTCTAGAAGAGACGTGCCGCCTAGCTCACGAAGAACTCCGAAGGGCGGGAGCACGCTACGCTAAGCACTACAATCGAAAATCTAGGGATAGAGTATTCCAACCAGGAGATAAGGTTCTCATCCTGCTCCCAACTGACAATAATAAACTCTTGCTGCATTGGAAAGGGCCCTTCGAAGTGCAGGCGACAATTGGGGACTTCGATTACTCTATAAAGACGCCGAGCGGGCCGAAAATTTTCCATGCCAATGTGCTGAAGAAGTATGCGGAGCGGGAAACTAACCAAGATGCGCCGCATCAATGCCAAGTCATCGTAGGGGTTATTGACAATGGAGATGAACAGGAACTACCGGTGCCGGAGTTCGTGCAGACAGAAGGGATTACTGACGTCAAGATCTGCCCAAGTTTGACGGACCAACAAAAGGAGGAGTTGGAGAAAACCATGACAGCGCACTCTAAAATATTTTCGAATGTCCCGGGCAAGACAGATTGGGTGGAGTGCCACCTCGAGACAGTGATGGAGTCCCCAGTCCACGTCAAACAGTACCCGTTACCTTTTGCTACGACTAAAGACATCGAGGCCGGGGTACAGCAAATGAAAACACTGGGCATAATTGAAGTCTCGAAATCGCCCTATAATTCCCCCCTGTTGCTTGTGGACAAACCGGACAAAACCAAGCGGTTTGTAGTCGATTTCCGGCGCCTGAACAACCTCATAATACCAGATGCAGAGCCCATGCCTAGAGCAGACGCCGTTTTCGCCAGTGCCACAAACAAAAGATACTTCTCTAAGTTAGATTTTGTTAAGGGCTACTGGCAAATCCCACTCTCCCAGTGTCGAAACCTAAGACTGCGTTTTCGACAAAATCCGGTCTCTACCAGTTCTGCTACATGCCTTTAGGGATCAAAACGGCACCCGCCGTGTTCACCCGGCTGATGCGACAAGTCACTGAGGGAATCCCGGGCGTTGAACATTACTACGACGACGTACTCATAACAAGCACAACCTGGGAGGAACACCTATCCACTCTCAGACAACTCTTCGCTCGAATTCAGGCTGCCGGGTTGACCGTGAGACCGAGCAAGTGTGAGTTGGGAATGAATGAGATTGACTTCCTTGGTCATCACATTGGACAAAACATGCTTGCTCCACTGGCAAAGACTCTCGACAAAATCCAAGCTGCAACCGCCCCAAAGACGAAGCGACAGGTACGCGCTCATCTCGGGTTGACCAGCTATTATCGGGAGTTCATTCCAAATTATGCCGAGATCAGCGCCCCTCTCACCGAACTGATCAAGAAGGGTGAAAGCAATTTATTAAAGTGGACGACGACACACGAGAAAGCATTCGCGAAACTCAAGGAATGCATCTCGAGCCCTCCCGTGCTCCGCCTCCCAGACTTAACCAAGGAATTCATCCTCCGCACCGACGCTTCCGACACCAGCCTCGGGGCTGTGCTTTTGCAGTCACACGAAGGGACCCTGCATCCTATAGCATACGCCAGTCGCAAACTACTTCCCCGGGAATCATCCTACAGCACCATCGAAAGAGAATGTCTAGCCCTGGTGTGGGGGATACAGAAATTTATTATTTATCTCTACGGAGTGCCTTTCTTGGTCCAAACTGACCACCAGCCTCTCCAATTCATAAAACAGGCTAAACAGCTCAACAGCAGAGTGTTGAGGTGGAGCTTGCTTCTGCAAGGGTATCAGTTCCGAGTCGAGCACATCAAGGGAAGCGAGAACGTTGGTGCCGACTACCTTAGCCGAGTTTGAATGTTTTGAAAGTGTCTGACAGCAGTGAATGCAATAGGCTGTGTTGTTATTGTGTTATCCGGTGTCTAGCGAATCAAAATGTTTGTTACGGTGATGTGATGTGATGTATTGTACAATTGTTGTAATGAAAGAACTTTGTACATTTGTATTGTTTGGAATGTGTGATGAAGTGTTGTAGTCATGTACCTGTGGCTATATTTTATGTGTTGTGGAATTGAACTACAATGTACGATTGTATTGAGCAATCTATTGTGAATGTGAAGTGTCATGAGCGACGGTTTGTGTTACAGTCTTTCAGAGTGTGTGGTGACTGTTCGCGCTCGTTTGTGTGGTTTTGAATATTATGAGATAATATTCTGAAAGTGGGGGGCAGTGTCACAGAACGAGCGCTAAAAATGGGCGCGCCGCAAATTCTTGCTATAACGCGCGGGAAAGACGTCGCGAGGTCAAAAGAAAAAAAGAAATCAAACTACCAAGGCTCCCCAGGCGCGCGCTCTCTCCTCGGAAGCGTGGCTTCGCCGACGAACCTCCTCACCCCATACCCGTGGCCGAGCACGCACTCGAATTTTCCAGAAGGAAAGGGGCGTGTATGCCGGGTTGAGTCATCTGTCGGGGACGGCCCTCGTACACTCTCGCACCTTCCCCCAGCCTCCGCTGCGCATCGCGCCGACGAAATGATGAGAACTTTCTGGAATGTCGCGCGGAAGTTATTTAACCGAGCAGCCGAGACGAGAGATCAGGAGAAGACGGAAGTTAGCGCCAGAGCGCGTAGGGTATACCGCCGTGTAGTCGGCGAAAGTTTTGTCCGTAGAGACAAAGCGGGAGAAGAAGAGGATTTCCACCTGAGGGGTGACGACTCGAGCTACAGGCAAGAGTGTGTGTTTACCGCTATCGAGCGAAGACGCGTGGCGACAGCTGTGTGTGTGAAGCCGACGTGTTCGGGCGAAGAAGTTTGAAGCTTGGAGAGTGGCCAATTGAAGACGCGAGGTTTCCTGGAAGAGAAACTTCGAGGGCGCGGAACGACAACAACGCTGGACTTTGAGTGAGTGATTCTCGGAAGAGTATCATCCAGACTTTTGTTCCAAGAACTTTGGACTGGATAGGTTGTCTATCTCTTTAGTCTTTAAGTGTCTTGGTGGTTCAATGCATGCGACTGCATTGTAGTGCGTATAGTTGTCTGTGTCTATTGTTTTGAGTGTGGCTGATTGTACTGTGTAGTACGTTGTTTGTTTGGTGACGTATTGTATGTAACTATTGTGGAGTGTGCATTCTTGGGTATTGTTTTCGATCTGCCATTTTTGAGAATATAATATTTGTTTTGTTTATCAACTCTCGGCTCTGACTTGTTCTTTGGGCCACGGCCGCCGTCTGCTGGCTCGCCAAAAAGGACCACTTCTAAATTGTCCACGCTTTCGTGGTGCGGTTCGGGGGGCCAATACTTCGGCCCTTGGAATTAGCCCGGCGATCGCCTCCCTAATTAACGGGACCGGTGTGACAGTTTAGAATCCGCAACATATGACGTGTGTGCTAACCGTCAGGGACCATTTAAATAGAATTGATAAAAAAGAACGCCATTCCACTGTGGCACCCGGGAACTCGCCTTCGAAAAGAAGCAAAAGCTTTTACATAACGCCAGTGCATAGAAGTATTTCAATTAAGCATTTCCTTTTGCTAAAATTCGTCCCTATTTCTTTAATTGTGACCTTATTCGTTGGTCTAGTATAAATGATGAATAAGGACACTGTTACCAAGCAAACAGAAATAAGTCTGAATCTCTCTGGCTAGTGCGCATGCGCGTACGTTGCCCGTCTCGCCCTGCAACAGAGTGTAGGGGCAGCACTATATTTGCAAAGCAGCTTTGGGAGAGTAGGTGCGAACTGGGGCATGCATATCCTCGTTTTGCACAGGTACTGACAGCAACGAACAACAAAGGCCTGGGCGAGTCCTACATCACCCAGCGGGTTAGGCAGTGGGAAGAGGTGCATCCGCTCGCCACAGGTTGGGCGCCGAGACCGAGAGACGCGGCGAAGCTGCTGCATCGCTACCGACAGCTCAGGAAGGCGTTGCACGAGGCTGATCGTAAGTGAAAAAAAAAGAAAACAATTGTGCAACTTAGTCGTTAGATCTTGATTGAAATATTTTTATAGCAGCAGCTAACCAATAATAGTTGAAACTTGCATTCATTCACCCTTGCTCAACCAGCATTACCGACTTTAGGCAACGTTACCTAGCTTACATAAGTCGTTAGTTAATCCTTAGCCGAGAGTAGTAGGCACTAGCAGTCACTTAGACATTTGTAGCCAAGATTACCTTTAGCCAGTATTAGCTTACGGCATCATCTTAGCGCATACTTTCTGTCATTTAGTCATCGTTTGCCGACATTAGGCAGTACTTGTGAACATAGGCTATCACTTAACCGTCAACTTATAGTCACTGCCAATTGAGGCGGATAGTATGCATTATAATGCAGTAGAAGTTGGATTCGTTCAAATAATAATTATCGCTAACGTCATAGCGATCATGGCGCACACCATATCTTGTCGCAAAACTTCGGGGTGCTCGCATAAAAAATAAAGGAAGAAAAATAATTGTAAGTCAAGTGATCACTTCACCGGTGTGTATGAACGAGTGGTGTTCGAAACAGAAACATTTTCTTCTTGTGTAACGAGCGTACGATGGTAAAAAAGATACAGCAGGAGGGGGGGGGAATTCTAATATATATAAGGAGCTTTGACAACAGTTAAAGGTTGCAATTCAAATGTCAATGTGCTAGAGCTTGCTACATAGTTAGGCCAGTGCCTTGAAGGGAGGGAAACGTTCAAGCTAGTGTATACGCGCACTACGTTTCTGGCACGTTTAGTTGTTTGTTTATGTAATTACTTAATATGTGGCTGCTTATTTTGTTTTCTGTCTTTTTTTTTTTTGATCAGCTGCTCTGGCACCAAAAGACATCGCCAGCAGCAACGTGTTCCCTTTCTGCCTGGCCAGGGTTTGTGTGTTCGGGAGAACCACAGCGGAAAGCAACTACTGCAGCAGCGAGAAGGTGCACTCTTTTTGGGATGTTTACAAAACCCTGTTTGTGTGATCATGATCACACGTACGACAGCGCATGCGGCTGTACGACTTGAACAAGGCCTATGGTCGGTCCTTTCACTCCTAAACATTTTCTTGCTATGTTTGCTGTCTAGTTTTTTTTCATTCATTAGTTTGTTCCCGCGAGAACTAACTACCCCAAAAACCATGTATGCTATACGAAACCTAAAATTGTGAAACTTTCTTGCATGCTCGAAAAATGAAAAAAAAAAATTAGCACAGGATGTAAACTTTAGGAACTTCAGTAGTCCGAAAATATTTTTAATGCAAAAGTATCTTCCGTAGAGTTTATTATTCACTACTCAATCTTGTATAGCATTATACTATGATAAAGAAAATGCAAATATAAGATATCTTGGCGAGATTTTCAAAAGCGTACAGGGCGGAAAATTGCAGTAATATTGTAGAGCTTTGAACATGTTATATAAACTCTTTGGCTTAGTATGTAAACCCAATTTGGTATTAAAACGAGGAACGATACTTTCAGAATCATTTTTGTGACAATCAGTGCTCAGATGACATTTTGCAAAATGTAGAAGGCTCCGATGCGACATACATATTTTTTTCTTCGAAGCACTCTAGCAATTCACTCTTTCCGATGCGATAAGTCAGCATGATTTTTCTCGAATAGATTTGAAATGGTCGCCAATATGGCTGGGCCTTTGGTGCGGGATGACCCTATTGGCAAGTCCACTGTTTGTTTGATCCCTCCACACATGATTGATATGTGGAGTTTAACGTCCCAAAACCACAATATGATTATGAGAGACGCCGTAGTGAGTGGAGGGCTCCAGAAATTTCGACCTCCTGGGGTTCTTCAACCAAGACAACTGTCTGAAGCGTTTGAAAAGTTCTTGACGTCACGAAAATAAGTAAGTGCTATTGGATGACGCAAATTCTCTGTGAGAGAGACAGCGATGTTTGCGCGCGCAGCTCGCATTTTTAAGAGCAGACCTTCTTCAAGCTCTTCGTTCAGCTGTTTCGCATGACCAGAAAAGTAAGCTGCATGCAACGCAATATCTCGGCTGGAACGCGTTGTCTTCGTCTTCTTTCTCATCTTAGAACTGACGATAGATAAAGACATCCTGCTTTTAAAGGGCCCTCTAAACCACCCAGAGGCCAGAATTCTGTTGTGGTTGGGAAGTTGTGCACGCTTTACAACGAACATGGAGCCGTGATAATGTTTTGAAACGTTGTCGTAATAGCGGAGTCAGACATGCTTGATTATCAAAATGCGGCAATTACTTCTTTCGCTCTTTCCTTCGTGAGCCTCCTTTGGTATTTTCTTCCAATGCCACTTTGCCCTCTCACAGGGCACCCCACCCTATCTGGCGCGGCATATGTCATCACCGACGCGCTGCTCGAAAAACCGTCTTCTTCCGGTTGCCGCGACTCCGTCCCTCCATCGACTCCGGGCAACACGACGAACAACAAGCAGTGCGGACAACTGCTTGCAGACTAACCCGAAGTCGTAGGCTCTTGCTCGACGAATCACAGCATATTTTTCTGCTTGTCAGAGATTCAACTTCTCGACGTCACGCGGAGGTCCGAAATGCTTGAGGAAAAGGAGGGATTGTTTCTTGAAATTCTGGCACGTGCAGAATCGATCGCGACCGCATTCTGCACACGATGCACGTGTTTACTTGTAATGTTTGAAAAAATATCGGAGGCGATTTAGGGGCCTTTTGACGGCGTACACTTTGGAAGTGAGGACAGTTACAGTACACTTTTTTTTGTGCCATCTATTAATTTGGCGGACATTAAGACCTGTGGCCAACACATCCATTGAGGTTGACACGAATGTTGTGCGATGCAGGTTTTCTTTTTTTGGCACAAAGCAGACAAGAGAGAGAGAGACGGGCTGAACAGAGACACAAAAGACCTTGCTAATTAAGACATGCTAATTAACAGTTTGATAATAATCTAAATTGGTCACAAGTGCAGCTGTGTTAGTCCGGCCCTGCACCTTTAGAGCTAGCTGCCAAGTTTTACTCGCAAGTTTTAGCCGTGTAGACCTGACCACGAATCCCAATCAACCAACACACGCATGCAGGTTAAGAAAGCCTACGGGAGGCACGACACCGTTCGTGTGTTCGGCTATGCCGCGACGTGTGGCTTCGTGTTCGCCATGGCGGAGCTCACCGAGGAGCAGGCGTCGCTCCTCAAGAAAGGCGACTCCGGCAGCTCTGCGGACAAAGTCGGCCACGAGGAGGTGGATGATTTGGCTGAGCGCATGTGCCTCAGCCTGAGCCCTTCCAATTGGGAGGACGTCTCCTGCATCGTCGATCTTGCAAAGTTCGCTGCCCCAGAAATAGGCGGCGGGGACGACGGGGAAGACGCCTTGCGCCTAGCTGCGGACAAGACTGATATCAAGAGTGAGTTTCCTTGAAATGAGTCGGACAAGTGATTGAATTGAATAGGAATTGGTTTGCAGCTGAGTTACGAGGATGTTTAGCCAGCAGGAGCTGCAATCTGCAGCTCGAGATGAACGGCTAGCCACCTCATACGCAGGGCAACTTCATAGCTGGCAAATAATAATAAATCAGACTGCGCATTTCAATGTAGTAAGCGCAAGTGATTACGGCTCAAACAACCCATATCAGAAAAAAAGACTGTTTCTTTCAAGCGTAGCAAATAAGGTTAATAAAAACGAGCACGAATCTCTAACATGAGTATTTACAGACAAACATTTGGCGTGGATCATACCAAGGCAGCATAGATATATATGGACCATATTCTTTAGGTTAGATTTGATGTCTATGCATGTCATATGTTTCGTGGACTAGGGTAAAACAAAAGACATTGCTTATAAGCATGCTTGAGGGTTTGCAAGCCACAGTAATATCACAGTAATAATAAGCCACAGTAATCAAATTCATCACCCAAGCACTACAATTGGTTAACCAGAGGAAGTTGAAACGTGCGGCCCGGCGTTCAGCAGTAGTTTCAACCCGACGCTGCACTGAAGCCTTTTGCAATTATTGGTTACATGTTCGTGCTACATAATGAGGTCAGCCACACGTTTTGCTTGGGTTTACCTGAGTGTTTTTTTTTCACATGCCGCACATTGTGCCTCGCATCTTCACGGACATGGAGGACTATAATGATCGGTTAACTAAGAACAATGTAAGTAATAGTACAGCCAATGGAGATCGCTTGTGACACCGTTACTGAATAGTTTTTCATTTCTACTAGCCATATACAAATTTCGCGGTAAAATTAAAGTCGCAGTTTCGCCGCAAGGGCGAACAATGAACGTCATAGCAAAAATTGGGGGACTGTTAAGCTTCGCCATAAAGAGCTGAACGCGATAGCGAAATCCAACCCCTGGTGCGCCCTTCAACCGCTGAGTGCATACTTTTTATCTAAAGCAAGAGTCGCATGGCCTCTAAGATATTAGCCTCGAGAACGAACACTGGCGTCGCTGTGGTCGTGGCGATGTGACGTCACGGCACGGACTCGCCTGCTCCGCCGGAGCTCTTCGCCTTTTTCAGCGCCCATTGTGTACGCGCTCTTTAGCGATACGTTGGTGATTACTCTTCAATTTCGTGACGCCGATATCTCAACATACAAGGTGCAAGGTTTCACAACTAGTGAAAGTTTTTAAAGCTGTCAGAAGTTTCCATAGTTAAGCTTAGGATAGGCAGACTACTGTCCGAACTTAAGATTGATTGTGAACACGACGATTCAAGAGAAGACGTTTGTTGTTTCTATCACGTACACCACAAAATGGGTGCTAAGAAAATATGCTAAGTGGTAAATATGCCACTGCCAGGACTTTGGATGCACCCCAGACTTTTAGAGAACAAAGGTTCTTTTCCGCCATCGCGACCAGCTGACAAGGGAAATTTTTGAAACGTGCAGCACACTGCTCAATACGAAAGAACGCACAAAAAGAACACACACAGGATGAGCGCGAACTTTGTCACAGTTGTTATTTCACTGTGTTTGGAAAGCGTGCTCTTTTTTTCACAAATGGAGAGACTGCAGCAAGCGAAGTGACCTTTGTGCGCCAGGTAACTACAACGCAATCGTTCCGGTGAAAGCCCAAAGCGTACAATTCTGCTCCAACGCGAGATAAGCGCACACGCGCTTGGGCGTCTCCCCCCCCCCCCCCCCCCCCGCGTGGCAAAGTTCTCGACGGGGGTGACGAGTGCGCCTGCCCTTAGCGCCGTCTCCCCATCTCGCTGGTAAATGCTGGAACACGCTATTTCCCTCGAGACCGTCACGACCAGAAATGAGTGGTGTATATAAATAGCTCGCCGTTGGAACGTTTAAGAACGTGCATTTTGTAGCTCAGCGGTTAACGCCGCGCGCTGCGGAGCGAGAAACCCCTCGCTCTATTCCTCGCGTTGGAAACAGTTTTCTGGATTATTTTAAAAGCGAATGCATTTCTTAGTCGGGCTATGTCAGGCGTCCCGCTGCGTCCGCGTGCTGGCAGGTGTTCTCTTTGCTCTCGCTCTCTCTCCCATAGCAACAGGCGCGGGTGCGCGTGCTTAACCTCGCCCCTACCTACCGAAGCAGGTGGTGCGGGCAGAGTAGCGGAGAGTGAGTGGAGAGGAGGAGCGCGCTCTGGCGTGTGAGGGCACTCGCATCCCGGGTGCTTGGTGGAGCTACAGAGCTCTCTACTACAGTGTAGCGGAGCTCCCGCGTGTGCGGAGGCAGTGTATGAGAGGGTAGGTGCAGTGATTCGCCGCTCCTTCTCTTGCCGTTTGCTTTCTCTCCTCCCCGCGCCCCACTCTCCCGCCCGCTCGCTCGTACGTATATATAAATGCAGTGAAGCGCGCGCCTCACTATAGACGTTTGCTGGCTGATGAATGTGTAAATAAATAGTTACGATACAAATCCTCGTCTCGTGATTGATTTACGCCATTAAAATTACTACGCCGTGTACTCTCTGCACAAGAAATGCATTCGGATTTCCTCACGATTCCCTTCTGAGAGGTCGCGACATTTTTTTTCTTTGAAGCATTTAGAAATATATGGATACATATACCTATTTGGGACTTGACGGCGACAACAAAAAAGAGCTGAGAGTGTCCATATATTTGATTTCGCAATAAGTAGTAACTTGATGTGAATACGAGGTAGGAATGCATATTCCCCATTATGATATACATATTTGGGAGTGTTGTAGAGATTAGTAAAGCCCCTTGCCAATCTTGATATGCCTTTTTGCATGCCATCGATGTACTGCGGCGAAAGTGACTCAAGAAGCCGTCTGCATGCAATAAACAAGTCCAGATGATTTCAAAACCACTTTCTTTGGTTATTAAAGCACATAGTCTTTCTTGAGATACCTAAAGGCAAAAATTTTGGTCTGTCTGTCTGTCACACGATTCAGCCTCTCTGCCAAAGTTTAAGCACTTGCTGAACACCCAGCCATCTTGCATTCATACTTGTGAACATTGTCGACGAAAAAGCAAATATTACGCATATCGGAGGCACAACAATATGCAAGTACAAGTATAAAATACGTAAGTATTATAGTATTACATAAGTATAGATACATATTTCTAAAGTTCCTAGTTAGACACATTATTAATGAGAACCAACGAAGACGGTCATTGTAAAAGACAGTCATTGCCTATAAGTTCTCATTAATACTGTGTCTAACAAAGAAAAACAAACCCTTAAAGATACACTTCCTTCATAAAACACCAGTGAAAATCTTTACGCCGCGCTGAAAATACGACGCCATGCACAAGAAAAGACGGCCGACATCGTCTTTTGACGACATATGCAGGGAAGCATGCATGCCAAAGGAACAAGCAGGATTTCGAACAGGCTACTCAACAATTGCCCACATCCTTACTATCAATCAGGAATAGAGAAATGCTCAGAATATAACCAACCACTATACATAGCCTTCACAGATTACGAGAAGGCGTTTGATTCAGAAGAAATATCAGCCGTAATGCAGACACTTCGGAATCAGGGCGTCGATGAAGTATATATAAATATCCTGGAAGAAATCTACAGGGGATCAACTGCTACCATAGTGCTTCATAAAGAAAGCAACAGAATACCAATCAAGAAGAGTTTAAGGCAGGGGGTCACAATCTCCCCAATGCTATTTACCGCGTGCTTACAGGAGGTTTTCAGAAGCCTAGAATGGGAACAGTTAGGGATAAGATTTAATGGAGAGTACCTTATGTCCTCGCTGATGACATTGCATTGCTGAGTAACTTGGGGGACGAATTGCAACTCATGATTACGGAGTTAGACAAGGAGAGCAGAAAAGCGGGTCTTAAAATGAATCTGCAGAAAACGAAAGTAATGTACAACAACCTCGTAAAAGAGCAGCGCTTCGAGATAGGTAATAGTGCACTTCAAGTTGTAATAAACTATGTCTACTTAGGGCAGGTAATAACCGCGGAGCCGAACCACGAGATTGAAGTAACTAGAAGAATAAGAGTGGGTGGAGCACATTTGGCAAGCACACTCAAATTATGACAGGTAGATTGCCACTATCCCTCAAGAGGAAGGTATATAACAGCTGTATCTTGCCGGTACTTAGCTACAGAGCAGAAACCTGGAGACTTGCAAAGAGGGTTCAGCTTAAATTGAGGACAACACAGCGAGCAGTGGAAGGAAAAATGGTAGGTGTAACCTTAAGAGACAAGAAGAGAGCAGATTGGTTTAGGGAACAAACGGGGGTTAAGGATATCATAGCTGAAATCAAGAAGAAAAAATGAACATGGGCCGGGCATGTAGCACGTAGACAGGATACCCGCTGGTCATTAAGGGTAACTAACTGGATTCCCAGAGAAGAAAAGCGGGTCAGGGGGAGACAGAAGGTTAGGTGGGCAGAATAGATTAAGAAGCTTGCGGGTATAAATTGGCAGCAGCAAGCACAGGACCGGGTTAACTGGTGGAACATGGGAGAGGCCTTTGTTCTGCAGTGGACATAGTCAGGCTGATGATGATGATGCATGCAGATGCGCGGCATTTTTTTTTTGTTTTTTCGCGTTAAGGTTAGGAAGATTCATTGCCGTGTTGATACAAACTCGGGCGATTTTTCGAAATTCTATTGCCTGATGGGAAAATTGGATTAATTGGCAGGGATTTGTATATAACAGGCATATATATACAGCGAAGCATCTATGATTCCTGCACTTGTGTTGCTGTGGCAGCGATGGCATAACTCGCAATAATGATGGCACCGACGAGTGTACAGACATGCAAGTGCACACAAATAGCTCCTCAAAGCAGGGCCAGTCACGTGTCTATTTTTACGTGCCGTTATTCCGATTACTGCCGCCCGCTCTACAGTATGCTTGTCGGCCATCAGCCGTTTCTGATATGGAAGTCCGACCTTTTATCGAGGCCGCTTGTCATTGCACTTGCCACATTTCACTGTTACCTTTCGTTGTTGCGTTTCATTGTTTCATGCACGACCACCGTTGATGCCTGCAGCAACCAAAGTGCTGCGCTGCCATATACGTGGGTGAATGTCGAGTCGAATTTTTGGCATGTGATAAGGGAAGAGTTAAGGGAGCTTTGCGAAATGCGAGAATTAGAAAATATCAGACGCGCACACTCCAGGCTTCGCTTGCTTGCATGATCCCGACTGTGGAAGACCTCTTATTTCAATTGAGTGATTCCTACGCCAGATGTAATTGTGACTAGGTATTCTTCAGTCCTCTGCACTGTACTAGCGATAGTGACTAACTGTAGCTGAGAAAACTATTCATTATGTAGGTCATGTACTTCACTTTTTCTAACATATCCATATAGTTATCCTAAATAGTACTTTCACTGTTATTAGTGTTAATATCCTTGTGTGTGTGCGTGCGCGCATCCTTTGTTGCTGCCTGCTAGGCGGGGTCTAGTACCACGTCAAGCCTTGATGCCTTTTTGTCCACGATACTCCATGTCGGCCGCGTGTTGAAATGGTCGTTGCATAAACTTGCTTGATTTGACAAACTGATTGCATTTGATGGTGCGATCAAAGGTGCAACAAGGACGTCTCATCTTGCTTGTGGCTATTGGAGCTTTCCTCTGTTGCCCATGTTGTAATTGCTTCCTTAATTTCGTAGTTTAGCGTTTGTCACACAGGTCCCGTTAATTAGGGAGGCGATCGCCGGGCTAATTCCAAGGGCCGAGGTATCGGCCCCCCGAACCGCACCACGAAAGCGTGGACAATTTAGAAGTGGTCCTATTTGGCGCGCCAGCGGACGCCGGCTGTGGCCCAAGGAACAAGTCAGAGCCGAGAGTTGATAAACAAACGAAATTATATTCTCAATAATTGCAGATCGAAACAACACACAAGTATGCATTCTCCACGATAGTTGAGTACAATATATCACCAAACAAACAACGTACTACACAGTACAATCAGACACACTCGAAACAACGGACACAGACAACAATACGCACTACAATGCAGTCGCATGCATTGAACAACCAAGAAGCTTAAAGACCAAAGAGATAGAAAACCTATTCAGTCCAAAGTTCTTGTAACAAAAGTCTGGAGGATACTCTTCCGAGAATCACTCACTCAAAGTCCAGCGTTGTTGTCGTTCCGCTGCCCCTGAAGTTTCTCTTCCAGGAAACCTCGCCGAAGTTTCTCTTCCAGGAAACCTCGCTTCTTCAATTGGCCTCTCTCCAAGCTTCAATCTTCTTCGCCGGAAACCCGTCGGCTTCACACACGCAGCTGTTGCCACGCGTCTTCGCTCGATAGCGGTAAACACACACTCTTGCCTGTAGCTTGAGTCGTCACCCCCTCAGGTTGAAATCATCTTCGTCGCCTGCTTTGTCTCTACGGACAAAACCTTCGCCGACTACACGGCGGAATCCCTACGCGCTCTGGCGCTAACTTCCGTCTTCTCCTGATCTCTCATCTCCGCTGCTCGGTTAAATATCTTCCGCGCGACATTCCAGAAAGTTCTCATCATTTCGTCGGCGCGTTGCGCAGCGGAGGCTGGGGGAAGGCGCGAGACTGTACGAGGGCCGTCCCCGACAGATGACTCAACCTGGCATAACACGTCCCTTTCCTTCTAGAAATTTCGAGTGCTTGCTCGGCCGCCGATGTGGGGTGAGGAGGTTCATCGGCGAAGCCACGCTTCCGAGGGGAGAGAGTCGCGCGCCCGGGGAGCCTTGGATGTTTGTTTTCTCTTTTTTTGTTCTTTTCTCGTTGACCTCGCGGCGCCACTCTGGCGCTTCATCGCGAGACTTTGACGGCGCGCCCTTTTTGAGCGCTCGTTCTGTGACAGCGTTTGTCTACAATTATTGGCCATTGCATTAGTTCCCGCATCACCCCTTGTACAGTGCTTGCTTCTAGAATCCCAGCACAGTATATCTGTGTTTTGAAGCACCCTAAAATGTTATCCTTGTTCAGGCGATAACCGAGTGTCGTTGGCGCCATTTTTTTAAGGCACGCATCCATCAAGGATCACCATCATGCCTCTTGGCTCAGTGGAGGGCACCGACTACAGCTTCGCCCGAGCCGTCGGCACCCCGTGGACTTTGCTGGCGACAAAGCTGCGCTCCTGGACTTCGCCAACAGCGGAAGAAGCCGCGAAGAAAGTCGGAAAAGTTGAGGTCTATGCAGCCACCGAATCCGGTCGCGAGGCCTGTTGCCTCCTTGTTGATGAAGAGACTTGCGAACTGGACGTGGTCTTCACGGGCTACTACCAGCCATACACGACTCCGTAAGCTCCAGGCTCTTCTCATTCTTGCAATCAGCAATGCGACGAGTTGTACTGTACTTGCGGGGTTGCTACCTTCAAATAACACATGCAGATCTCATTTTCAAACCAGATCATCAGGAGTGCATCGTGGAAATGGTCTTGTTTAGTTCGGAAAAGAACGAGATTGTTGTTTATTCTGTTCATGCATGTGGAGTCGCGCTTTTAACGAAAGCTGCAGGCAAAACTAGCAGTTGTTCAGTTTACGAATACAGCCGAGGAGCCAAGCTTCTTCGAAATGGGACGCAAACGACTTTGCACTTGGATCTGGCTACTAGCTTTCATACGAAGGCGGTAGGGTTGGGAAAGAGTCTGCTGCGTTCACTGACATTAAAAACAATATAGATTACAGAGGGGCGTATTCCCGCTCCCTCACCCAAAATTAACAAAAAGACAGTCTGTCGAATGGCGGCAGTTACAAACTAGGACGTATCCGAGTCCTGCACTCTCGCAGATTATATATCCTGATATTTACAAAACGGACAGGTGCAAGTGTTGCGACTCCAGAGCCACTCTGGAGAATATCTTATGGGAATGTAGAGGGATTAGTGCCCATAATGAGTATGCGGCATCTGGTGACAGCCTTCGCGCGTGCGCTGGGAAGCCGCAATGCTCAGCCCCGTTCTCGAAGACCAAATGTGGACCGTCCATCGGGCCGAGAAAGCCGCCAGGATCCAAGGACTCCTGGTCGCAACCTAGGCGGGGCCATTCGCCCACCCCATCTACTCGCTGGACTCTGAATAAAGTTCTTTCCTCCTCCCCCTCCCCCTCTGCGTGGCCATGCCCAGGCAATAAAAACATGACTTGTGTTACATGGTTACACGTTCTGCTGGGAAACCCATCCCATTAGCGTTAAGAATACACGGTGAATGTATGTTTTTGTTTTCACCGTGCAGGCTGAGTCGGAACAGCTGGTCCACGACTCGAAATTTTGTTGGAGGTACACCGTGGGGGCGCAGAAGCTACGATCGCTACTGACTACTGAACGTGGCGCAGAAGAGAGCGCCAAAGCAAGGTCATCCCTCAGTCACTTCTTTAACAACGTTCAAGCCTGACCGAGCAGTGTCCCCGGTGTTGCTGAAAGTGCGCCACTGCGGAGTCTTCTATTTTATGCTTGAAAATTATTTTTTGTACCCCCGCTGCTGGCACAGCCAGTGAATCGTTGTTTTTGCTTCAGCCGTGTGCCAAATAAAAAATCATTATTTTTTTAAAATATAGCTCGCAGTGATTTACTCGCAGTGGCGTACATGACAATATAGCTCGCAGTGGCGTACATGACAGAACATCTTCGAAGAAACTTCATTTTGACGTCGACAGTGGTCCGCAGAGATTGCTAGGTCAACCACTGTTAGCCTGCACTACTGTACCTATACCAAAATTTGTTTCACTTGTGTTACGTTCTTTTCATGGCAGCGCGTTAACGGTGGCGCTAAATTGATGTCGCTGTTTGATTAGCTTGTGAGCAAATATCTGTAAAAGTGTCCTTTTTTTAAAGCATATAAATAATAACTTGTGTCGATTGAATTGGCTGCACACATTTGCTGCTCACTTACAACCGTTAGCTACGACTAAAAACGAAATTATTGATAATTGTATTGTTTAGGATTGATTGAAATAACTTCATTGCATAATGCTTGGGAGCCTCACTCATTCTATTTAACCGTGTTTATAAATAAAGCATGCGTTGAGAACAGGCGTTAGCTGGCGCCTAGGTGATGCCAGCAGAGCAGATGGGTATGCAAGAACTTGAAAGCAAATGTTGCACAAGCAAAAAGTCAGAGCACTTAATTGGCTTGATGAAGGAAGCATCTTATTTAATGAACAATTTTCTATTTATGCTGACTGCATACCCCCACTAAACACAGTTGCGTTGTCTACGATATGCATACTTCTTATGGAATGTAACATCATATAACGCGTGTGTCATGCTTTCGTTGAGTTACGAATAGCGAGAAGTAAGTGTGGTCGCCATTGGACTTGCTGTATATGCTACCTAGAGAACATACGCAGTAACTCTAGTCGCCATATGTGCATACACACACAATGGCCACCGTTAATCAACGCTGAGCGATGAAATCTGATTAATTTATCAGGCCAAACCAAACCGATGCACCTAAACAGCGCATCTACTATTCATTTCGAAAACGAAGCAACGAACTGGGCCCCACCGCGGTGGTCTAGTGGCTAAGAGTTTTTTTTTCGTGCTTTTTATTGATACGAATACAAGAATGTTGCATGTGTTTAGTATACAAAAGGATGTGTTAAAGGTACTCGGCTGCTAACCCGCAGGTCGCAGGATCGAATCCCGGCTGCTGGCGACTGCATTTCCGATGGAGGCGAAAATGCTGCAGGCCCGTGTGCTTCAGATTTGAATGCACGTTAAACAATCCCAGGAGGTCGAAATTTTCAGAGCTCTCCTCTACGGCGTCTCTAATAATCACAGGGTTGTTTTGGGACGTTAAGCCCCACATATCAATCGAAAGCGCCCTCAGTGAGGACACTCTTTCCCTCGCATCAGGGGAGGAGGATAAGCGAGCGTTGATAAGCAGCCATGCGGCAGGAAAGTGCTTCCACGAAACGAAGTTTCTAGATCAACGGTTCATAACGGCGAGGGAAAGTGTCGCCGTTGAGGATGTTGTGGTAGATGTGCTGTTTGGTACGTCGATTTCGGTTTTGCCTCCTGAATTAGTCAGATTTTAACGCTCCGCGCTGATTGGCCACATTTCAGAAATTTCAAAATGGCCATGGACTAATCGCAGAAAGAACGAAGCCACCCATTTGACTCGACCGCCTTTTTCCACTGGTTAAGACGCTAATTGTAGAGTGAAGAAGACGACGAGTTCGTTGTGGTTGTTGTTGTGCACGAGATCTGCGTTCCTGTCAGATCGGCGCTATTCTGACTGGCAATCGTCACTGCGCGCTAACAATAAATAGTCTTACGAGAATCGTTATAGTTTTTATAGTTACTGCCGTAATTCATGATTGCGCGCATCTGAATATGCCCTCCGCCCATAGGCGTATCAGCCAGGGTAGCAAGGGGGCGCGAGCCCCCCACTGAGAAAAGTTGGGAGGCTCAGCCCCCCCCCCCCCCCCACACTTTCGACGGTCTTCACTGCCGGTTGCACACTGGGGAAACCAACGCGGAAACTAACCACACTAATCACTCACACATATTGTTATGAGCGAATGAAAATGTTGCCAGAAAATAATATAGTGAAATTCATCCAACTTTTCTGTTGTGACGATTTTTTCTGGAGGCTCTTTGCGGTGCGGGCCACCTATGCGACGCTTTCGCATCTTGTGCTGTAGCATTGCAGAGCAGGCTACAGTACAAGGCACAAAATTGTCTTGTGCTGTAGCCTGCTTTGTTATGAATGGGAACGAGAAATCGTTTTATGGACCAGCCAGAGCATTTTGTGCTTCAGGAAAAGTGTTTTTTTTTTTTCGTCAAAAATGAATAGCATCATCACTGCTCTGTAGAAGCTGCTGTGAGCCGATGATTGTTACGAATGTATTTAAATTTATTTATTTATTTATTTATTTATTATTTATTTATTTATTTATTTATTTATTTATTTATAATACCCTCAGGGCCAAATGGCATTACAGAGGGGTGTGGATTACATTGAATAACACATGGTACATGGTGGGGAGGGAAAAATACAGCGTTAGTACGAATATAAGCAAAAGTCAGCGTACAAACAAAAAATACATTAAATAGGTCCTGCGTTTACAATGTTAGATACGGTATCACGAAAAGATGGTTGTCATTAATAGCAACAATTTCACGGGGAAGGTGGTTCCACTCGCGAGAAGAACAAGGCAGGAACGACTGCGCAGCTGTGTTAGGTATATTTTATCTTTGCCATACTGGAAGCGCCAAAAGAAGGTTTCCGCTCTAGACTCTGATAAACCTGATCAGCCTCGCTTATGGTAACTAGGAGCGTTGACAGCAGTTTGCAAAGTGGCGACGAAGAAAGCAGTGGAATCGAGTACATTGGGAAGCATAGGCGTATCAGCCGGGGGGGGGGGGTCAAGGGGGTCGCGAGCCCCCCACTGAGAAAAGTTGGGGGCTGAGCCCCCTCACTTTCGACAGCCGTCACTCTTGGCTGTATGCTGGGGAAACCAACAAGTAAGGCGTAGTTTTTTATCACAACAGTAATCACTTGATTATGTTCTTACGGGAGAAACAGGGTCCTGTTTCAACATAGTGAAATTTTGCCAACGTTGCTGTGCTGTGATGACTTTTCTTGTAGGCAATATATAATATATATTATATATATATATATATATATATATATTATATATATATATATATATAATATATATATATATATAATATATATATATATATAATATATATATATATATAATATATATATATATATATATATATATATATATATATATATATATATATATATATATATATATATATAATATATATATATATTCCTGCTGACGAGTGAGGCAGGTTGTTTGCCCCCCACTCGCGAAAGAGTTGGTACGCCACTGCCTCCGCCACAGTAAAGGTAGCGCCACAGCTAGCACGCAGATACCTTCTTTCTGTAATTATTCATTATTTTTGGGCACATTCTTCACACACCCTGTACATACATACATACATACATACATACATACATACATACATACATACATACATACATACATACATACATACATACATACATACATACATACATATATTTCTTTTTCACAAGGCTATACATTCAAACTTACATGTACATGAAAGCAGAGTGACCACTAACGAGTACTTCTTTCTTCAACTTTCCACATGCTAATTGGATGATGGCACTGCGTGTGTCTACCTGATGCGTCTATGAGCTTCTCTATGTGTGTGTGCTGAGCGATCTAGGCTTTCAGATATTTTTGGGGAAAACATTTCGCAGCGTCGATCGACACGCGGCGGTAACTGGCCCTTTACCTGCGCCTGCGATTATTTCGGCGCGCCGCGTTGAGTCACGCCGTGGGCAGGCGCCCGAGTGGCGCCAATTGAGCGAAATCGGTGCGATGGCAAGAGGGAGAAAGGAGGGGTCCGCCCACTCTCGCTCGAACATTACCGGACGTTGGGACGATGATGCAGGAGAAAGCCGTCGGTGAGGCCATCGCTATATGGGGGATCGCAGTATGCCCGAAGACGGCTCTTTTATTCGGGATAAAACAGGTCGAGGCAATGGAAAGTTTGGGAGCGTTGTTCTCAGCGTTTATACCGGCAAAAAAAAAAAAAGATCGTTATAGTGAAAAACGAGCATTGTGCTCTCGAGAAATGAAAAGGGAATCGTGAAAGCTGGAAAGTGTCGGCAGTGCTTGCCACTTCAGACATGTCTTAGAAATTAAGCGAAAGAAACATGAAAACAGAGGAGGGGGAGGGGAAGCGAAAGGGCGAAAGGGGATAGCTAGAATACGCAAGCAATCGCACACAGATGAGTGAGAGAAGGTTGTATGTCATAACGTGTAGGTGCTTATTGCATGGGCAGCGCCAGGATTAGTTTATCAGGGGGAGGGGGAGACCCATGATTGAGTGCTTTCGGGAGGGGGGGCAGGGAGGCGGGAAACTGTCATTGTGTTATGACTACGTTTCCTCTGGGGGGGGGGGGGGGGGGGCAAGGGCAGGCGTAAATTTGGGGGAGGGGGCAACTCCAGCCACTCCGTGCCCACCCCTGGCGTCGCTCCTGGCTGGCTGGCGTAAGTATATACTATATGCTTCTGTTTCACGGCTAAATGATTTCTGTCATAGCCATTAGTAATCTATTACTAATGTTCTACGATACAACTGCTGAGTTGCGCTGCCCTTGCGCCAGTTTTTATATTGCTTCACGGGAAGATAGTGCCCACGTTCTCACGCAAAAAATAATTAATAAATAAAAATAGTTAATTTGTTTAAAATGAACGATAAAAAAAACGCCAGGCCTGCGGGGTAGGCGCAGCACAGTCACAGCGAAAGCTAGAAGAGTGGCCTTTCAGAGCCCTTTTCAAAACACTAATTGGGTAACTACTGCAAGCACACTTGCTCGGTACCCACTAGGGCATTGATAATAAACTTTTGGGTAGTAGGCCGGAATTCAATATGCTATTTTTAGTCATTCTTCTGAGAAGCTTGGTATCCGTTAAACACTTGCAAAGAATTTTAAGGCATTTGTCCCATGCAGTGGCTGACGACGATGAGGAATTATGGCTGAAGTGGGTATGCGCCA